CCCCAAAACCCCAAAACCCCAAAACCCCAAAACCCCAAAACCCCGAGTTATCAAATTAAGTTGACAATATCTATATCTGCTTATATGAAAATACAACATGGATGCTCAAGGGCCTCCATTATACTCTCGTTAGGAATCCAGATGGGTTGAAGGATTTCTCACTGGCGAAATAGGACACAATCATGTCTTCCACTGTCATTGAATCGTAGTTGAAATTAGTTTTAGCACCCATTCCATTGAGTCCAATAGCGTAGAAATCATGGGTAATCGCAGCTTCTTTCTCATCTTCAAAGGTCCCAATATACTTCTTCTTGCCACAGACATTGATCAGCACTTGCCAGCTCGTGCCGTTGCCGAGCACTCCAATGTAGCGAGATCTTCTCTTTGAGGTTCCATTGTGGAGGCCTCTGGAGCTCTTGGTGGTCTTAGTGAAGCTCACTTCTTGTTTGGAGTTGATCATCTCTAGGATCGTGGTGAGGTTCTTCGTAATGTTAGGCAGTTTATTCTTCCTATTCTTCATGGTTTTTCTGGCCTGACTGGTTGGTGGTTTCACTGGAGACTCACGTTGACGATCACACAGCAAGCTGAGGTCTCCAATTGTAGTCTTTCTGAAGCTCATACTATTTGAATCAGCATGTTTGAGTTGTGGTGGTTGTGGAGCAGCACAACCCCATCAAAATTGATTGAATATTGTGGATAATTCTGCTTCAAGAGCTTCATAATATGTCTAAACAAAACTTGAGTTAGAAATGACTCCAATACTCAAATCTTACCATCGATACAGCGTGGATGTTCATCGGGTTGGTTGAATAATTAGTTAACATTTTAATTAATTATATCTGAATTTAGTAGCTTTATATACCATCGGAGACCTGAGTATCCTGAATTAGAAGATACGACAATCCGTCAATGAATTAAATCCATTCTAACATTGGCTTTTAATGATTCCAGCGAATGATTAAAGCACTCATAAGTCTCTATTTTGTCAATCATTTCCAATTTTCATACTTTAATATTAGCAACAATGCAGTTTACTGCAAAGCTGCACTCACATCTATTACATGCCAATATATTATGAAAACGAGCTTCATGGTAGACATTATATAATGTGTCAGTTTCAAGGAAACATTATAAAATCTCCAAATACTCCAAGCCCAGCCTTGACGGCCATGATAAATCAGTTTATTCATAATGCAAGGGCTCAATAATTTTTGAATTTCTATACAAACAACTCAAGAGGGTTGATATGAAGAAGTATTTTTAAAACACACTAGTGCCTTTCCATCAAGCGTATAACTTCGGTGAGCTAGATTTAGGAACCCTGTCTCTTTGACAGAGAGTTCAAACTACCACTAAAATAATTTCTGCAGTCTTCATTTCTAACATATCATCAGCTGGAGGCTTATTCACCAACGATTAATCTCTACAAGTCTCCACCCTCATAAAATAGCTGCAATTGGACTACCTTATTAGATTTTAACTCTTGCTATTGCAAAGCCTACCAACCGAGTCTAAGTTCAAAATGAAATAGCTCGAGCAGTGTGAAGCGACCAGAAACTAAATAAGGCTGATCGAACAGAATTCTCAAACACTCCATAATGTCGGGGAGCTCTTTAGGCAACTTGTCAAGATTCGATATTTCAGGAGATGCTTGCTTCTGCTTCAGCTGTATCTCTGGTCGTTATCATTCAGTGGTAGATGCCTCTTGCTAGTTTTTGGTAAGATTTAAGATCTAGATGGTGAAATCAGAAATTTAAATCGCAGTTGACACCAGAGATGCCTCTGACTATAATTCTACACAGAAGTTGTCACCAGTCGGAAGTCTCGAGGTTATGATGCCCATCCTCATCGATGATGATGGGATTAATACAAAATAAGTAGGGATGTTAGCACAATTTCTCATTTAGGAAATACTTGTCTCTTTTACTCCATATCTATTCTAATTTTACCCAATTTCAGCAATCAAATTTTAAAGGAGTTCGAGTTCTTGCTATAGTTCCTGCTCAGGCCTGAGATAAAATAAGCATATGATAACGAGCCCCTAGGCTTATTTGGGTCATTTCTAGAGTAATATTTCCCCAAGAAAGGATTCTCTAAAAGTAAGTCCTAAAATAAGAAACAATAGTAATCTCTTCATCCTTAATCTAGTGATTTCGATTTGGCCGAGAGACATAGGAAATCCTAAATTATTTGGCCCAAAGAAGCCAGATGTAACCACATTATGCTCTTTAGCAATCTGGAGATTTCAAAAATGTTATATGATCCATGAAGAACCCATAGGAGCAAATATGGGGTCTTTATGATTCACCAATACTCTCTTAATTATTTGCTCAAGGAAATACTTTTCATAATTTGAAGAGTATTCGAATTTTTGGCTAGATTCGCATAAACTCCAAGTCCTAGTTTATTCTGAAGAGTTTTAGGGTCAAATCTCGCATCTTGGACGATACCTCTAGAAGAGTCGAAACACTCGACTGTTAGGTACGAATAAACAATCTGAATTATTTCACAAACCGCATGAAATATTGACTAGTAAATTTTTGTTGTTGTTAGACAATATGTTCAACACAAAAACAAGCATAAATTTTAGAATTCCCTTCTGCAATTCAGAATGATCAAATCCAATATCTTCTTTGGGTGAGACCCACAAGGCTTGTGGAAGTGCCGTGCTTGTAAAGAGAAGCCATAGTATCTTTAAGGCAGAGATAACATAGAATAACTAGGATGAATTATGATAAAGACTGCCAAAAGTCTAACTAATTCCCGATCTGAAAATGGCTTCACAGCAAGCCAACAAAGTTTTTATAGTGTTTTTGGTTCAGAACCTCTGAATATTCACATTTCGATTAAAAATAAAGTTTTCCGTTTATATTTATTCAGAGAGCTTTGTATCAGCCATAGAGCTGCCAACCAAACCGATGTTAGGGTCATTCGTTAGAACCAGCTAAGACTTCTTGGTTACGATGAAAATATTGTTTTTAATAGAGAGCTTTACTGCTGTGAGCCTGCCAAGTAGAAGAGATGCTTAATTATTATTTACAGCCTTTGATTGACAATAGACAAAGGCCAATATGACCAAATCATGGGGAAGATTCATTGGCCATATTTTAATCTGATATTATTTAGTTTCAGAAGCAAGCGAACGAATTAATTAGGTTCGGCATCAGCTGCCTGTTACATCAGATTGGAGTGGCTTGTTGTAATTTTAAATCAAATTTATCATGAGATGAAATGATCTTGTATTATATACTAATTGACATACCCGAGAAATGGCTAACGATATCATAAAATATTTATTCTAAAGATTTCTACAAAGTTTTGGAAAGAATTTCTTTCATAACTCAACCCATACACATCCAAACAGGATATCCAAAAGCAGGCAAGCACCTAAAAGCTTTGTCTACTTTTAGGCATCATTGAAAGTATTTATCCTTTGATTTTAACTCTCTAATAATGCTCACCAACCAATTTCGCCGAGCTTTAAATACCAATAAGCTTAGTTTCAGCTGCTGGTCACTATCATGGGGTTTTGGGGTTTTGGGGTTTTGGGGTTTTGGGG